AAAGCAACAAAATCAGGCCTCTCTTTTAGAGGATTGTTTCCCAGGAAACTTTAGGAGTTAGGTTGCTAAATAAATAGCTGTGTATCACAAGTTAATTCATGCTTCCTCCCCCTCCACCCCACCTCATTTCTTTAACAAAAAAGGAGCATGAGTGGAAAGTCAGACAGGACTAATAAATCATGCATGATGGGGAGTCAGAATATCCAACTTCCCAGAGTTTTTCAATTCTAATTTTCATCTGTTTTACTTACATGGAAAACCATTCACTTAAATAATTTTGTGCCTGACTTCCATTATTTTTTCTATTCAGAATTAGTCTGTTCCTCTATATTGTCACCAGATTTAGCTATCCATGGAAGGGCCAGGAAAAAATATTTTGCCTGTAATTCAGTATCTCCTTTTTGTCTTACAAAGAAAGAGACTTTTCTCCTTCAGCACTATCCAACATTCAACAGTCTAGGTGGGTCAAGTACTTGTTTAAACATTGAGTATTGCTGTCCTTATTCTTCTCTGTCCAAGTCTGCATCTGTAATGTATCAAACAAGGGACTGAGCCAAGATCAATACAAGGGATGTGTGAGGGGAAAAATGGGCACTACAGTCCTGCCCTTCTTAAGAAGGAATTTGCAGAAGTACATGACATCTGGAAACAACCTGTGTTCTTTTTGGGGAAGGGTATAATGTCTCTAGAAAGACACCACAAAATGAGGCACATGCTGTTGGACCACGGCTCCTTAGCCTTCTCAAGATGCAGAAACTGCAGAGATGAAGAAGCCACTTTATCTTCTCTTATGGTTGCATGTCTTTTGTGGGGACAGCTGGGAGCACACACAGGCCAAACCAATTTTCCTGGCTTCTGCAGCAGCCCACATGTGGCCACCATCTCTTCCCAGGCCCTGGGGCTCCACACAGGTCCTGCTTGCAGGACAAGCAGAGTCCCCAGCCAAGACAATTGCTGGAAGCCTCGTGCTAGAACAATGTTCAGCCGTGGCTTCCTCCCTGCTCATCCTGAATTCCTTCTGGAAATGACAGATGCTGAGAGTGCGGGAGCCCGTCTGACCGACCCTAGAGCAGACCTGGAGCACAGAGTGCAGCAACTGCACAGCCATGGATTAGTGAAGGACAATGAGCACAACTTCTGCAGCAATCACTGCACTTTCCACATCCCCACTAAATGTTCAGATTGCCCACGGGTCCTGCCATGTGACGGGAGAAACGCCACATGAGGTTCTGCTCTCGTATTTACAAAACCTGAGTAACTCAGCCAGCTAAAGCAATCTGGCTCCCCTGTTGTGTACGAGTTCAGGTTATAAAGCAATTTCTATTCAGCTCTAACTGTACAGATTCCACAGTGGTATTTTTCGTGTTGTTCCTAATCAAGATGAACTCATTGGTTTTATAGTGTGCTTCATTTTGTTTTGTTTTTCAAACATGAAAAACCAATATTTCCAACACTTTTCAAAGTTTTTGTGTTTTTTCAAAGGGAAAACATATCTCTTCCTCCACTCTTAGGACATTCAAAGCATCCTTTTCCTTGTCAAAACCAGACATGGCTTACTGCTGAAACTTGAAAGGAACCTTGAAAATATTTTTCCATGAGAACAAGAGCCTCTACTTGGCAAGAAAAGTAGTCAACTGTTCTCTAAAGTGATGAGCTTTGGAAAACCTACAGTCTGTATATAGGAGAAAGGAAAATCTCATTCCTGTGATAACCATGCCTACCAACACAACTGGACAGGAATGTAGGTCTGGGATGGGCAAATTTTCCATTTATAGATGAGATGGGTTTGGATGCTGGCCATGGTGTTCTTCCTATTTAATTGAGGTTGCCTATCCCCTCATTACAAAGCCCATTCTCCCACAGAAACAACTGAGAAGGTTTGGTCCGTGTTGATGCTTTGGTACCTGCTCTTTTTACAGGGCTTGACCTAGAGAAAATTGAGCAAAGTATTTGCCAGTCCCACATTAATCCACCTCTCCAGTCTGTGATCAGAAGGTTTCTCTTTACAAGTTAAAGAAAAGACACTGGCATGTTTTTGCTCCCACAGCAACCAGTCCTGGCCTGTGCAAGGAAGTTGCAGTTTAATTAAACCATTTCAAAAGCTGATGCTGTTAATGTGAAGTCTTTAGGAGGATGGATGTTATTTTGCTGGAGTCGTTTCTACACTTTTAACTGAAGTGGTAAGGAAGGGATTTAAGCTAAATCAATATATAACATACTTCAACTGATATGTGTCCAAAAAAGGCATTTGCATCAGCATAATGAAACGGTGCAAGATTTTCATGTAGACAAGGCTCAGAAGAAAATATAACTATATTATTCTTTGGGAATATCATGAACATGCCTTGTTTTGCCCTTGTCTGCTGTCAACACCTCCTCCACTGCCTCCAGGGGTCTGCTCCCCACTGCCTGACAGTTTTATTAACTATATCTTCCTGTCCTGTTTACCCTCAGGTACCCACTTGTTGGCAAGTTACACTTCTCTTTATCACCAAACCACCACCCCATTTGATGTAGTTCTCAAGAACTGTAGCTTCTTGCAGTTCTGCTAAGTTGAAAGGTTCCTCTTCAGGGTAGTTTCAACTTTATGTTCCCCAGATTTTCCCCTTTCCTCTATTAACAGTAAAAGTTACTCCAGCTTCAGAACACAGCTGGCTGGGTTTTTCTCAGAACCCAAAATATATTAGTTTCAGGCTTCTGGGGTGCCCAGTGCTGTGGAAAGGTCAGGCTGTGACTACTCCTTCTGGAAAGCTCATCTTTCTCCAGAGTGTGACATACAGTGCATGAGAAAAAGTGTAAAAAAGGCCATTTTGAGCAGCTACTTTCTCAGCCTTGCATGATATCCCAGCACTTCTTGAACTCACTGGCTTATACTAGAGAGTGGGGAATGTCCTTGGGAAGAAGGAAAAGGTCAATCCTTCCCCTTACTGTTCTTGGTTTGTCCCCCAGAGTCCAGCACAGCCAAACCAACACTGGGATGCAGAGCTGAGGAATTTTCTCTCCCCATTTTGCTGAGCCACTGCTGCTGCACTGAGATCTCTGGGGATGAGGAAACAGTGCTGAAATCACAACATGCAGCCATTCCCAGCACACCAGGGCCAGCATGCAGAATAGGTTAGGCAGAGTTTGGTACTGCACTGGCAGAACAAAGAGCTGCTGGCAGACATTTGAACAAATGGCTCGTTTCCATGTTGAATCCATGGCAAACTTCCCAATGGAAGCAGCCTCTGGCTGCAAATGTGCACTCAACAACCCAGGTCTGTGCAGCACACTCTGCCTCTCACCAGCTGCACGTGGCCCACAGTCCCCACAGGTAGCTGCAGTCAAAAACAAGCTGGAGCTGCTGAGCACAGGAGAGTGCTCCCAGGTGGAATAAATCAAACTATACTAAATTTTAGATAGTCCTCATGCTTGTCCTCAGAGATAAATGTTCAAGGTAAGCGCCTTGTTAAGAGGAGGGAGAAAACAGACTTGATTTCCTCTCCATGTGCACAACAATGCTTAAAAGTGCAAGTTTTGGAACATCTTTGAGACAAGTGGTGAGCTGAAGCAGGAGAATGCCTCATACATTTCAGTGCAAAAGACAGCAGGGAAAAGGAAATTCTTTTTTGTGTCTTTAAGGATCAGACAAATCAGAAAATTGATGATAACTGGCTAATTTCCTCTTTAAACCCAGGTTTGTATCTTTTGAGTCCCTACCAGAAAATTTTCAAGTCTACTTATTACAAATGTAATCCACCTTTATTTTTTTTTCTTCTTATCCTTTTTTAGGAAAAGAGGCAGAGGAAGAGAGACTTTCCAACTTCTCATTATTACAAAATATCAGGAATACAATACCCAATTCAATCTGCTGAGTTAAGACTGAAGAAATGCAAAAGCTGTAGCCACACACAAGTTTAACTCTGCCCCCGTGTGTGCAAACATTAAAACACATCCATCCACCCTGGATCCTCCTCTGGTTTTGTGCTAAAGGGTGTGTTAGTTTGTGGCAGTAATAATATATGGCATCCACAATGACCATGAAACTACAGGATACCTTTTCTCTTCTACACTCACATGTCATTGCATTATTAAACTCCTTTATGACTGCACTGGCTGCTGAAAAAAACAAGCCATAGTGATATGCCTGCTGCCCACAATAATAAAACAAGAAGAAGTGAAGAAAAGAAAAAAGACAGTTCTGAAATTTTACCAGAGGGATGATCCTGTTAAGACTGTGAAAAAACAGGGACTTAATTTTACTTCTCACATTTGGCATGCATGTGAACTTCCCTGTTCTACCCCTTTCAGCCTGAGGAGTGGTTTCCAACACCTTTGGAAGGTGAAATGGAACTCCTTCCTCTGCAATGTCACACTGAGGTTTCTCCAGCATCAGCACACAAGGTGACAAGGCTCCATCAAGGGGAGACCAGCCCAGGCCACCACCACTGTGGTGGGGACACACTGCTCCAGCCAAGGGTTCAGCTCACACTCACACACCCAGCAGTGAGGGAGCAGCTCGGGATCAAGGGGCCTCTGCATCACACCCTACCCTGGGACTGGGCAGGAATGAAACCTGGGCCCTTTCACTGAATGGAACCTTCTCTCTCAGGAAATCTATGGGGGAACTGCAACAGGGTGTCAGAACACCTCAGCACACGGCACAAGAGAGACACAGGGGCAGGACAGGGCACTGCAGGAGCTGATCCCAGCAGAAACACCAGCCCAATCAGGACACACCTACCCTCAACCCTTATCTTTTGATAAGGGAAAGGTCCGCAGGGTGCACTGCTGCCACGCCAAGTAAATCACCTCGTCAAGTTTTAATTGATTTCAGCTTTCACATTAACCTTTGTGACTGGCTGTACAGGGAAAAAGCCACAGCCTTGCTTGCCGGATATGGGAGGACCCAGAGCACCAGTGACACCCCAGCACTGTCCCCTGCCCTGGCCAGTGACCACCGTGAAACCAGACAGGCGAGAGGCAGCTGTGGTGAGGCAACCAGGAGGGAGTGCAGGACCATGGCGACCTACGTGCAGCTAAACACCACTGCCAAGATGCCCCTGGTGGGGCTGGGCACCTGGAAGGTAAGAGCTACAGGTACTGCAGGGCTCCCAGGCACAACACTGCAGTGCCCCTGCTGCAGCTCAGGAGAGCTGTCCTGGTGCCTGGGGCTCTGCTCTGCCTGGCTGGTGGGCTGAGAGTGAGTTGAAGTGGAGCTATAGATAAATGGCTGGAAGTTGATTTCCAACCCTGGAGTCCATGTTTATCACTGCAAGAAATAGTGTTCTTGTAAAGGAAAAAAAAAAAAACCACCAACCTGGATTGGGAGGGAATTGCTTCCCCTAACATGGTTTCCCTGGTTTTATTTTGCTAGAATACAGGTCTTTAACAAGTACTGTTTTGAGATTCTTAATATTTATGCATTTTTCCAGTCTCCAGCTGGGCAAGTAAAAGCTGCAGTGATGGCTGCCATCGATGCCGGGTACCGCCACTTCGACTGTGCCTATGCATACCTGAACGAGAGTGAGATTGGGGAAGGGATCCAGCAGAAAATCAAGGAAGGTGTTGTGAAAAGAGAAGACCTCTTTGTTGTCAGCAAGGTAAGGATCCAATGATCCTGCAGCCCGGAGCACAGCTGAGGGAATGCTTTGTGTGGAGTATTTTCCTAGCAGGAAGGTAAGAAATGGAGACAAACTTTATGCTGTAGGAAAAAGGAAATCAGAACAGCATTCAGGTGACTCCTGACACAAGCTTACAGCTTTCCCCATGCTGTAGGGAGAGTTATGAAGGATACACTGTGTCTGTACCCTGCTGTGACCCAGCAGTCCTGGGGGATGTATAGATTAGTGGAAAAGAAGGGAAGCGGGAAAAGACAGAGGGGACCAGGTAGCCCCAAGCAAGGTAGTGATGCAGAGGTCAGAGACCACTCAGTGTCATTAGCAGCTTGCTAATGACACCCTGCTGATGCTACAGCACAGCAGAGCACACAGGCTGTCACTGCCTGGTGCTTGTTCCAGCAGCTGGGCTCAGAGCACTGCCAAAGGGGTCTCCCTGCCATTGGAGGTGTCATTCTGGGCACCCTGAGACAATGTCATCTGCTCAGCATGTGGCCCAGGGAAGGTGGGGTTGGTGGGCTTTCTTTCTCATTACAAAAATCAGGCTACTTAGCTGGAATCTGGAGTTACTTTTTACCTAAGATTGCTGGCAACCACTCTTTGTGGCTTGTCTTACACCTTCTTGGCTTTGCCTGCTACATGCAGTGCAGAGTTCTGTGCACGCTCAGGAACAACACTCAGATACACCACTGCTTCTGAAAGCCCCCTACTGCCAAGGCAGACCCTGGGGAAAAGGAGTGGCACAAATGATGGGTGAACTCATGGAATCTGAGACTGGCACACACTGCCCCCAGAGCCACAGGCCAGGCCCAGCCCAGAGCTTGCCACATCTGAAGAGCACGAGGATGGTCTCATTCCACATCATCTTCCAAAGAACAGGGAGCATTCCTGGGCTGTGCAGGACAGCACCCAAGAGCATTAACCAGGAGGTCACAGTCTGTTTTTGTCTCCAGCTGTGGTGCACCTTCCACGAGAAGCCTCTGGTGAAGGGAGCCTGCCAGAAGAGTCTTGCCAAGCTGAAGCTGGATTACCTGGATCTCTACCTCATCCACTGGCCTTTTGGCTACAAGGTACAGCAGTAGCAGGTCTCATTCCTGTGAGAGCTCCTCAGCAGTGCCAGGAGCACATTTTTTTTTTTTTTAATTTTATCACCTTGCTTAACCACTGTTTAAGGATGTTGGAGAATTTCCCTGAAAACAGCCTTTCTGGAATAATAAAGAAGGCAGAGATGAGCTTTGTGAAATGCCCCCCAGCAAAAACTGTATAAGCACTTTGTATCAAATAGGTGATTTAATATAATAAGGATGGGTATTGTCATGCAAGCCACTGTCAAATTAGGGAAAAAAGCAGCCTCTAATTGAACTAGGAGATAACTTATGGAGCACAACAATATTGCAGCAGTTCTGCCACTGTCAGGCTCTTTGTTTTTGTGTTGGCAGATTGAATCTCATCCATACCTCACCCAGGAGAAGCTGATCAAGTACTGCCAGTCCAAAGGGCTGGCTGTGACTGCATACTGTCCCCTTGGCTCTCCTGACAGACCATGGTAAATTTTCTCTGCAATCTGCCAGGGAGCTGCTGGGGGTTATGACTCAAGCACTGAGACTACACATACACCACTCATTTCTTATTTAAACACAGATCTCTTTTGCTGTGCTGAATCTTTCTGTGGAGGTTTCTTGCCACTGATTTGTTCTCTCTGTGTAGGGCTAAGCCCGGGGATCCTTCCCTTCTGGATGACCCCAAGATCAAAGAGATTGCAGCCAAGCACGACAAAACCCCAGCACAGGTGGGTACTCCTTCCCAATGAATTGGAAACTCTTGCCCTTCCCCATGAATTGTGCCACTCCTCTGATTTTTCCCTAACAATGCAGATTTTTTTTATGATATTACCTCCAGGACACACTATTAACTCTTAGGCCATCAAAAAGATTCTCGACCACCTTCAGATGTGACTTCCCCTCTCAAGTCCTCTTGCAGAGAATGTAAACCTTGCACAGACTGCTAAAATCCTAGGTGCAAACAAAGGAGTGGTCTGGCCCAAACCTGGATGGGAAGGGAGGTTTCCTGTGAGGCTCCACCACTTCCTTCTCTGCTCTCCAGGCAGTGCAGCCTGGACTGCAGGGCCAGGGATGGTTTGAAATGCAGCTCTGCAGAAATGGGTACAGCTCAGGGAAAAAGCTGTTGGAACAGGAGGAATGATTCAGTTGTCTCTTTTTGCAGGTTCTCCTTCGCTTCCAGATCCAGAGAAATGTGATTGCGATTCCCAAATCCGTCACCCCAGAGCGCATTGTGGAGAACTTCCAGGTGAGGGATCAGGAGTGAGCAGGGGCTGCCCCTCAGGGATGGCTGGGCAGTGATCCTTTATCACCCTTGCCATGGCCTCCTGCAGCAGGAGGGCTGGGCTCTTCCTTCTTCCTGCTTAATTTACATTTTACCTGCATAACTACACTTCACTGAGTGTTAACCCAGGCCTAATTCTTGAGAGTTTAATTAGCAATCCTTACATGATATCGTTCCCTGTTCCATGGATGGATGAGCAGCCACAGCTTGCTTGGAATCCCCACACAGCAACATGCCAGAAACATCTCACCTAGAATCAGCAATGTTCATAAAATAATCCCTCGTGTCCATAAAACAAGTTGTTCTTCTTAATTCAGTGGTCCATGTGTGAAAGTGGATTCTCCAGTGTGGAGCTGCTCTTGTATTTCTCTTAGGTTTGTTCAAAGAAGTGATTTCCTCTTGTACCTCTAATTAGGTGTTTGACTTTGAACTGACTAAAGAGGAGATGGCAACTATTCTGACCTTCAACAGAAACTGGAGGATCTGTGAAATGAACGTGTAAGTGATGCCCCTTGTTTTCTTCTAAATCTTAAATCCTGAATATTCTTTACAAGGAATTTTGTGTCACAGCTTCTAGGTAACATGGAATTCAATTTTTTTAAAAATTACACCAACTCAAACTCCAAGTGGTTTGTCCCAAAAAAATAACATTTTCAGGACAGGGCTTAATGTTTTCACTTTAAAAACAAAACAACAAAAAAAATTAAAGCAAACTACATTCTAATTTTTAATTCTGAGTTTTCAGGAAACTCTCTCGAATTACAAAAAAATGGGATGTTCAACCAAAACAACAAAAAAAATTAAAGCAAACTACATTCTAATTTTCAATTCTGAGTTTTCAGGAAACTCTCTTGAATTACAAAAAAAATGGGATGTTCAATTCATCTCTCTGTATATGAGAGAAAGGAGAACATGTATCTCTGCCTATTCTTGCTGTAACTCTGTGATGCAGATCTCTTGGTGGCTCTTCCATTCACACAACATATCTCTAAATCACATTTAAATCATAGGTGAAAATAACACTCCCACTTTCATTTCTTTCAGGTCCAAAAATCTCAAGGAATACCCTTTCCATGCAGAATACTGAAGGTGCTTTTAACATGGCCTTCATTAGATTTTTGGTGTCATCTCCCCTGGTGCTGCCAGTGAAGACATGGCATGTTTATCCCACAACATTTGGGGTTTTTGGAAGAAAAAAATAATGTTTTCTACAGCACCACTGGTGCTGGTTGCCTTCAGTCTTGCATCAGCAGAAACCAGATGTTGACAAACACACCCCCCAGATCCACAATTTCATCAGAGGTGTCATGCATTTTAAATAAAATGAACTTTAAAATGTAAAAAACTTAATTGGTGGAAAGTTTTCTGTCTACTGTAGGAAAAACACAAAACTCTCCCACCCAGAGGTGCAGAGAGGGGTGGGTTGCAGTCACCTGCACTGTGGGGACACAGATCCTGCCTGGGACATTCAGCATTTTCCCCTGCCATCCCTCAGCACCCCCCTTGTGCCCCCCTCACCAGCCACAGCCCTGTTTTTCACAGACAAATACATGAATTATCACAGATCTTCAGAAAAAAAAAAAATGAGAAGACACAAAGAGATTGGTGGGAGCTCAGAGGATGCTCCTGGCTTGATCTGAACTCACTGCAAGAAAGAGGCCAATGTCTTAAAATCAGATTAAATCTCTACCCCCGTTTTATTCCTGCCTTAACAAGCATCTGAAAGCTGAACCAATGCACACCATTCAGCAATGTAAACTTTCTGTTCCAACATACACTCTTTTCTCGAAGGCCCTGCCATCATCTGACAAGCCCAGCCACACCTTCAGGACAGAAATTGTCACCTCACGGGGACTGGCACGGTCTGGGCAAGGCAGACAAAGCAAAACACAAAACCTTCTGCCCAAAATCCTCTCCTAAAACACCAAGGTGTCTCTCAGAGCATGCCTTGGGAAAAACAAGCACCAGCCTTCACAGGAGAACATCAGCTCACAGAAGAAAGTAGAGAAAGAACAAATTGCATTTCTCAGCCCTGCTCTCCTGTGTGGTGAAACTGCAACACCACATCCTGCAGAGGACAGCTGACAGCACTGCCAGAAACCTGGGGCAAGATTAAAGGGAAAAATTATTATTTTGTCTGCCTTCAGTTAAATCAAGCAGGGAAATCACACCACTGTATATATTTCAGATTTATGTTTGTACCTGAAGGAATTCTCCGAGCACAAGCAAACAGCGAAGCCTCCCAAGCAGCCCTGACAGGCTGTTATGGAGCACTTGGAGGATCCTGTTGATAAATTAATTTCTTTTTCACTGCGCTTTCAACACGCCATCCACACAGCGTTATTTTGCCTCTCCGAAATTGCAAAGTCAGTTTCTAAAGTGAAATTAAAAGGCCGCCTGCTGTTTGTTTGTACACTTTTGTGTTTCCTTCTGAAGTACGCTCTGCGCCTCCCTGAGGGCAGAGGGACGAGGCGATCATTGTGACATTCGCTGTAAACTCAGCGTCCTTCAGTAGCTTGGAAAACACACTAAAAGACGCTTTCCCTCAGCCTTTAAAAGGAAGCGATTTGTACTGATCATTTCCGAAATCACTCGCAAACTCACCCCAAAGTGAAACTGTTTGTCCCATGGTGGTGTCACTCTGAAGGAACCGAGCGGGCGCCACAACACCCGGGACATGGCACAAGGAGGACGGACACCCCGTGGCACAGGGACGCTGATCCCCGCAGGATCCGGGCCGGCACACCCCTCTGCACTGAGCCTTTATCTTTCCGTAAGGAATTTCGCCCTTCTCCCGGGGGAACGCCCGGAGCGCGCCCGGGCTCCCTTCCACACGGGCTCCCCGCCGCTGCATCTCCCATGGTCGCCCGGCGGGCCCCATTGGCTGCCGGCTCCGCTGCTGATTGGCTATCGCGGCGGGCTCGCGCGGAGCCGGGGGCGCTGATTGGTTGGCGCGGCGGGCTCGCGCGGGGCGGCGGCGCTGATTGGCCGCGGGCGCGGAGGGAAGCATGGCGGGCATGGCGGGGTACGTGCGGCTCGGGGCCGCCAGCGCTCCCCTCATGGGGCTGGGCACATGGAAGGTGAGGCGGGCACCGCGCTGCGGGACGGGGAAGCAGCTGAGAATCCTTCACCGAGACCTCTGCTGCCCTTTTTCCCTTTAGTCCCCCCCAGGGAAGGTGACAGCTGCGGTGACGGCTGCCATCGATGCCGGGTACCGCCACTTCGACTGTGCCTATGTGTACCAGAATGAGAATGAGATTGGGGAAGGGATCCAGCAGAAAATCAAGGAAGGCGTTGTGAAACGAGAGGATCTCTTCGTGGTCAGTAAGGTATGGCTCAGATGGTCATGGATTATGGACGCGCTGGTTTTACCTGTGCGAGGAACATGTAACATTTAACGTGGTTAAACGCCGTAGCACTGGAGAAGTTTGTAATGTCAGTGAGTTAATTCCTCATGCCGTTCTCTTGTTTCCTGCGCTGCCACACAGCCCAGACCTCGCTGCAGGTGAAGAGCACAGAGCAGGCCTCATTCCACACCCCATTCCAAAGAACAGGGAGCATTCCTGGGCTGTGCAGGAGAGCATTAACCAGGAGGTCACAGTCTGTTTTTGTCTCCAGCTGTGGTGCACCTTCCACGAGAAGCCTCTGGTGAAGGGAGCCTGCCAGAAGACTCTTGCGGACCTGAAGCTGGGTTACCTGGATCTCTACCTTGTCCACTGGCCTTTTGGCTTCAAGGTACAGGAGCAGCAACGCCCTTAACTTTGTTTCTTGTGGTTGGCTTAACAGCCCAACAATTGTTCTGGCTGACAAAGACAATGACATGCCTGTTATCTGTGCCAGCACTGCTCTGGTGCTCAGCTTGATTCTGTGTGACTCAGGCTCTTGGTCTCTGCTCCAGAGGCAGTTGTTTTCATACCCCTTTGATCCTGGGAATGATGGCAATCTGACTCAAATATAGAGAAACTAGAGGCAGCTCTCCCAGCTCCAAGCATAAAACATTTCTCTTTCCTTTTCTCTCGTGAATCCAGTGTGTGTTAATCTCAAAATCACCCCTTGTGGGAAGGAGGGTTGCTTTTTGCTGCTTCTCTGCAGTTTTCCTTTGTGTGCTACAGAATCAGAGAGCAAAAGAAAGCATTTCTGTTTTCCATTTCTCTCTTTAATCACCAAGTCCTTAATGCAGTACAGACTGAGCTGGCCTTGCTTGTGGAAGCCTTAGTGTTGTTCCACTGAGACAGGAATTTAAAAGTTGAAACTTCTGTGAGAGTGTTTAGGCCCCCCCAAGATCAGAGAAGGAGTTGATGTCTGAGTTTGAATATTTCTAGTCACAGCCTTTCTATCCTCTCTCAGTCTGTTCCCTCCCCATTCTACCTGTTGCCTTTGAGATGCTCATCTTTTTTGCATGCTTTATTTTAACTTTATATGAACAGGGCCATGAAAATGAAGCTGTCTCATGGTGACAGCAGCAAACAGCTGCTAAACACAGTTCAGTCCTGGCATCTTTTCATAACTTGTACACAGAGGCTCTTCCAACTTTCCCAGTGTTGGTGTCTTTGCACTGAGCTTTGTCATGGAAGAACTGTCAGTGCACACCAGAGCTCTTTTCAAAAGGTAGATCTGGTGTTGTGTAGACCAAAGTGTTGATGCCCCCCTGGAGAAAGAACAAAACAGTTCTTGCTAAGTGGGAACTAAAGAACAGCCCCTGAAGGGAGCACCTGTGAGACTGGAGGCTGCAGCTTGGACTGGTTTGCTTCCCTGTGGGTGTTTGGGTGAGCCATCACTTCCAGGGTCCAGCAGAAAAACCTGTTCTACGGGGAATGGTCACTGGCAAAAATGCCTTAAATTCCTTCCACTTCTCAGGAAGGAATGACTGAGTGTAGACAAGAATCAGCATTCTTGCTCTAGAAGTTTAAGATACTGTAGTTGAGAGCATTCAAGTGGACTTGTCAAGAGATTTTCAATCACTTTCTCTCTCACTGACAGGCAGGAGAGGAGCTGTTCCCTGTAGATGACAAAGGCATGGCTATCCCCAGCAACACAGATATCCTGCAGACATGGGAGGTGAGTTCATCCCGAGTGGAAGAGTCACATCATCTTCCTCAGCAGTGGTGTTGGCTTCAGCAGCTGCAGGATGTGCAGCCATGGATGCAGAATTAGTTGGAAAGATCTCACGGAAGCACACGGTTTTAAAAATGTGCTTTTAAAGATGTGATTCCCATGAAGACAAAGCATGTCAGGAAAAAATGTGTTCAGTCATGTCTTACCCACTGCCTGCTGAGTGTGCTCCCCTTTCTGCCAGGCCATGGAGGAGCTGGTGGATGCTGGCTTGGTAAAAGCCATTGGAATCTCCAACTTCAACCGTGAGCAGATTGAAAGAATCTTGAACAAGCCAGGACTGAAGCACAAGCCTGCAAATAATCAGGTGAGCTGCAAAGTGACTGCAGGGGAATACTTCTCAAGGATTATAAAGTTATGATTACAGTTAAATGAGGAAGTGGAAAAAGGGAGAACAAAGTAGACAAAACATGTACTTTAAATCCCTCTCTCTGGACATTTCTTCATACAAACAGAACCAGAATATTTCCTTTTTGTCTCATCTTGTTGAAACTTTGGAGTGTTTTCCTAGGAACCATTCTCTCTCGAGGCATGAAGAATCCACATATGAGGGATCATTCTGACATAATGATTGACTTTTATAAAGCCTCTCAGAAAAAAATCCAAAAAGCACGTAAAAAGTCAGTCTAAAAGTTGGTGCCCTGACTATAGAATTATAGTCTTGTATTGTCACACAGGCCACCTGCAGGGTGGGGTGAAGGCAACCTATAATTAGGATATTAGGATTCAGAAAAACCTCTGGAGCAAGGGAAGACTACAGTAGTTTCACAGCTCTCAGTCTGTGCTTCTGTGTTGGCAGATTGAGTGTCACCCATACCTTTCCCAGGAGAAGCTGATTGACTACTGCCACTCCAAAGGGATCACTGTGACAGCATACTGTCCCCTTGGACGTCCTGACGGGTAATTTCCAAGGGGGTTCATGTGATTTATGGCTAACTGAGTAATGGGGCAGGTGTATATATATATTTTTTTATT